CTCTTCTCCCAAGTGACAAGCAATAGGACAAGAGGAAGCGGCCTCAAGCTGCACCAGGAGAAGCTTAGTTTGGATACTGGGAAAAATTTCTTCACTTACAGGGTTATCAGACATTGGAACTGGCTGCCCAGTCCCTATCCCTGGAGGTGTTCAAAGGACGTGTGGATGTGGTGCTTAGGGACATGGTTTAGGGGTGGTATTAGCAGTGTTAGGTTAATGGTTAGATTTGATGATCTTCAAGGTCTTTTCCAACATAAATGATTTTATGATTATATATATAATACTGTGCTAAATTATATTCTATGTAGTTCATGACTGAGCAAAGTGAATTGGCAAGCCCAGAAAGTCCCAGTCTGGTGAGAGGAAAGGCCTGGCCGACGCTGTATGGTTTGTCCTGTGCATTTTCTTGGAAATCTCCTCGGCACAGCTGTGGTAATAAAGCAGGGAATACTTCCCTGACCCTGGTTGTTTTGCCTGCAGGTTTTTGCATACTGAGTAAAAGAAATTGTGATTAATGTGGCACTCTGTGTCAGGGGTAGACTGTAGATTACCATTAAGTGCATCATTATGTTATCTTTGAAATATTTACTAGGTTTCACCTGACATAATAGCTTTTCCTCTGCCAACACAACAGAGGAATAATCACCTAATACATGGGATGAAACTAAAATATATCAAAAGAAGTGTTGCTTTTGACAAAGAAACAGCTTTTGCTGTTTATAGGGTTTTGAAGGAATTTTAAATAAGATTTCCTCGCTCGTTTTCTTTCCAGCCCTGTGATCTGAGGTCGGATGCTCGCACTGAGGGGCAGGGGTGTGTGGCCCCAGGGTCTGCGGGCAAACTGCAGAACTGCACTTGGTGGCTTTGGTATAGAGATCTGAATTTTGATTACCTTAGCCAAACGTCACTCTGTCACACGGTGCAACGCTCTCACCGGGCCCTCAGCTGGAGCGTCTGTGATCTCGGGAAGGCACGGCTGAGGTGCCTGGGTCTGTAACAGCATTCCTTGTCCGTAATCAGAACGACTTGCTTTCAGATGTATTGAACTACTCTCTTTGGCATCGCGGGAATTAACAGCTCTGAAAATCAAGTCACTTTTTTGAATGCTGTGTTTTAAGTGAATTCCAGTTTTTAAGTGTGGTGTTAAATAGCCAGCACTGTCATATACCAGTCCCTGTAACAAGTAGTTACACACTCCTGCTCAACTACTGCTCAGACTTCAAGTCATAGCTGATGAACGTCTTTCAACTCTTTCAGTAGATCTTAATGAAAACTATTAGTGTGGGGATTTTTTTGGCTTGATCTGATTTGCATACATTTAGTGTTTTTATAAAGAAACCACTTAAACATTTTACAAAAATCCTTTGCTGATGTGGTTGAGACTGTTAAATTGCGCAATGATAAATAACAACTTCTTGTAAATTTAATTGTTTGGCTTTTTGTACTCTGTTCTCATTTTAATCAAAACAAACAAAAAAAACCACCACCCCAACATTTTTGCAAATCCAAAAACATGTTGACATAACCATTGTCCAGTGAAGACTTGAAGATACTCAATTGTCACCTTATCCTCATCTTCTTTTAGATAGATTAAAGTTGGATGGAAAGCCCAGATGTATAGGAACAAATGTGTCCTTTATGTTGGTGATTTGGAGGAAGACACTGTTTATTCTTTAATATTTCTATGAAGCAGTGATCACATGAAGTGAATCATACTCATTTAGGGATGCTGCCTAAATAAAGCTCCCTGGTCAGTGCCATGCTTTCGGGGAAGGGACGTAAAATATTCTTTGCCTTGAGGGCTAACTTTTCCTGTGAAATAAATTTCTCTTCCTTCTGTGTTGTAAAATTTACAGGTCATGCATACCTGAAGTTGATGGACTCATAGCTCTAGACACTGAACTGTATCAACTGTGACAAAAGTGAAACTCCCAAAGTCCCCACACCTTCCTGCTGTGGTGTGTGTTGAAGGAATAGAGGGCAGAACATAATGAGGTTTTAGGTGGGTTTGTTCTCTGGACACGTGCTCAGGCCACACCCTGCTCATTTTTTTAGTGAAATATTTATACCACTTGACTAAGGAGTAGCAGCTGCCTTGGCACCCACATTGAATTATGTGAAAAACTTGCAGATAATGTTAGCTTTTTGTTGTTAACAAGATCTGAAACTTGTGACACTGCATTATATTACAGCCCCTTGAACCCAGGTCTTGAGCCCTATGTAATTTAAAGAGTTAAATGTTGATGATGAAAATAGAAGCAGCTGCCTGGTGTTTAACCCAAAGAGCAACTATGCCTTCACACATTGAACTTTACTGTATGTGTCATCCTGAGTGTTGAAATCTTGCTATTTAATAGCATGTTAAATAACTGTTAAATAAGTTAAATGACAGTTCTACAAATACTGTTTATTGTCACAGCAATCAACAGTGACAGTTCCAGTATAATGTAAGAATACCTGTACTGTTTTTATTGGGTTGACCAAAGCACAGCAAGGATAAGTGATATGACCCACCACTCGCAGCGACTCATGAGCACGGGGTGTATTTGCCTTCAGTAGATTCACTGCCAAACTCTCAGGAGTCCGCAGATCCGTTCAAGTCTCTGTGACTAATGTCTCTAGTTGCCCAGCTCTCTGACACACCATGTGCTTAACTGATAAAAATCACAGGACTTTGAATTGGGGGTAATTTAAACCAAGTGAATCTGAATATAATTCTGTGCCATCCACTTGATTTCAGGTAGTGTGAATTGCATATAGATGAGATCCTGGCATTTGACAAGACAAAAATCATTAACTGTTGCAAGGCATTTGAACTTCCTTCATTTTACCTGCATATTTCTAATTCACATATTTCAAGACACAGATATGGCATACTGATTTTAGAAACGTGTGTTATTATAATAAAGTATGTTAAATCTGTTGTATCCACAGTGGTGTTGCAGAGACATTGACCTCCATCCTCAAGCAGTTTTGCAGGCAAATGCGCATTTCAGAATCCTGGCTCATTAATCGAGCATTAAACTAGAAAATAGTTGATTAATATTTGAAAAATGCAAATTTTACATTTCTCTACTATTATCTGCAAAAGATTAAAAAAAGATAATCAATAAAATCATCTTCCATCTAACCGCCATCTTTTTAAAAAAATGGTGTGCTATTAAAAATGCAGGAATACCTTCTTGGTTTGTCCTTTCTCCTCCGAGGTTTAGCAACTTCCCCCAGTGGTTAGTACAGCACTCCAAGCAACTAATCCTGTATCTAAAACTGTAATGTCAAAGGATTAATGTGTGCCTGGGAACGCAGGTCAAATTTGCTTTAGATCACAACACTTTGAGTTCAGCTCCTAGCTGAAATATCACGAAACTACCATATAATTTGGTACAAGTCTTGCATTCCTATACTTCAGCTGCTGGTTGCCTTTAATAAAAAGAGGGCCAGGATTGATTTCCCTGAGAATGTATTTTTCTTTGTCTAAAACTAAAGTAGTATCAGCTGGAAAGTAGAAGCATTTCTTAAAATAGTTCTGCATTCAATATAAATAGCACTTTCAAAGTCTGCTTTTAAAATACTGAGAAAGTACAGCGTGGCAAGTTGCTGTTATTTCCTGAACGACCTCTGTTTGCTGTGTTAGTGTCCAGCTCCTGGGAGCATCTCTTGGTGGCATGCCCTGCCTTCCCCTGGATAGCTGCCGAGACCAGTGGGGCCGCACACAGGTGCAGTGGCATGCGTTAGCTGAGCCCCATTTGACATTGAAGACAACGACTGTTAATTATTTTTTACAAAACTATGTATCTAATTTGTGCAATATGTAGAATGATACTTGCAATAAGCATACATATATAACTACATCTGTTTTACTTACGTTGAGTCACCAACAGAGCACAGCAATTTATACCTAATTATCTGCAAGTGAAATGTCCAGAATCTCCCTTACTTTGCTCTCTTGGTATTTCTGTAGGTACTGTAGTGCCAGGACAAGGGGTAATGGGTTTAAATTGAAAGTGGGGAGGTTTAGATTAGATATCAGGAAGAAGTTCCTCACGGAGAGGGTGGTGAGGTACTGGAACAGGTTGTCCAGACAATCTGTAGATGCCCCATCCCTGGAAATGTGCAAGGCCAGGCTGGATGAGGCTTGGAGCAACCTGGTCTAGTGGAAGGTGTCCCTGCCCATGGCAGGGGGGGTGGAACTAGATCATCTTTAAGGCCTCTTGCAACCCAAACCATTCTGTGATTCTATATGTCTTTGAGGAGTTTCCCTATATGAATTCCTGTAATATGTTTTTACTTTCCAGGTAAAAATGGCAGGTATCCTTTTAGGGTGTTTGATCTTAACATTGAAATATAACTGAGAGTAGGTATATTAATTCACTTTAGGTCTACATGGGTGTTTTAATTAATTTCATTCTATTTTAAGGCTGCAGTGTATTCTGTTCTATCCTAACACAAAATATTTACCAGCATGCCTATTTCATTACAGCAGACAAAATGCAACATCATGCAGCACTGTACACACCTGAGTGAGTGGGCTGTGTGCTTAAACTCTTGTTCTGACCAAGTTTACCTCTACTGCACTGCAAATGGAAACCCTGTGTGTTGTCAGACTGTAAGGTCTGACATTTGTCAAGCTCAGTTGATTGGCTTACTTTGGTAAAATAGTTGCTTAGATGAAATAAAAAGCAGTGTAGTCCTGCTGACATGAAACATTGCCTGGACTGAAAGGGCGTATCCTTCCCTCCTGGAGCACATGGCTGTGCTCATGCTCCTGGGCCCTTGTTTCAAAACCAATGGAGCTGAGCATTTCATAATTATGTTCTCATTTGCTTCATCTCTTAAAAAATTTAACCTGGGCACGCAAACCCTGCCCATGCATCTGAGGTGCAGTGCACCTGGAAACCCAACTTTGCTTCAAGCGGAGACTCATTTAAAAATTCTGTCCCTCCGGCTGGGACACGGTACCCTAGGTCTTTGCTGACAGTCGTTTTCTCATGGTCTGACAGGTTCTTCGCTCTGTGCTGCTGTTTCCGACGATAGAGCGTATGGCTCAGTCCCCCCAAGGAAAGCTCATGACCCCTCTGCTGTGCAAACTCCGTTACGCCCTGTACATGCCCGTCTACCTGCTGTCCTTCCTGCCAGAGGGAGTCAAAGCCTCCCTGGTGCGCTTTGCTCTGCGGGGAATGAAGACCTGTGATGAGTCTTCCGTAACAACCTCCATAAATCTCTTCAGCGTGGACTGCATTGGTGAGCACGTTTTTTTGTTGCACCAACTTTCGTATCGTTCTCATTTAGTAAATGTTGATGTCGTTTTGTGGGCAAAAGCTTAATACCAGTGCATGTGTAAGTTTTGAAGGACAGGTCTGATGTTTCTCAAATTAAGACCAGGAGAGTACAGGAAAGTCTCAAATGAGTCAGTTTTGGAAAAAAAGCCTTACAGAGAAAATAACAAAGAAAATATTTCCCCAAAGAATATATATTTCTTAAGAAAACTCTGAACTATACTACTAATAGCATCTCACATTAGTAAGACGCTGTTTTACAATCTAGTTTATGGTACTTGTATCTGCTTACTTTTTGCATTTTATTCATATTGGATGGTGAAAATAAGTCAGTAATCACTTTCACAAAGGGCTCTTTGCATCTGTTTTTTTAAAGCTGTAAGTTAACCAGCTGTATCGATTTCGTCTTTTGAACTGGAATATTGAAAATTTCCAATAGCTATTGAAAATTTCCAAATTCAGAGAAGGGCCTTCAGTCTGCAAAGACAAATAGAAGTTACTTTCTGCCCAGAAGAAATTCAGGGCTTTTTTGGCCATACAGACAAAGGTACAAAATTAACATTCCTCCAGTGCATATCGTATGCATACTTTGCACATTCTAGCACAATATGCTTTAATAAAGGGAATAATTTCAGATAAATTATGTTAAGTTTAGAATGAAAACCAGAACGTGGATTGTGCTATACTCCAGGTATTTTGGTAAGTTAGCAGTTGAAAATAATTTGGAATAGAATTGGCATGCGAACGCAGTAATAATAGCAAGAAGGAAGTTTTGATTGCATTAATAGTAGTAAAAACACATTCCTACACTTCAGTTGTGCTCTGTCTTCTATCAGTTAAATTTTACCTACTAATCGTCCAAACAGATGTGCCAGAGTAACTGTGATTGCAGTGAGGTCCCATGCCTTTCGTGGATGTCTGTGCATGTGTGGGTCTGTAGTGGAGGCTCACCGTAGGGCTGTGCAGAGACTGAAAGCAGGCTGAGCAGCAGGAGTTCTGCCTGCCAAACCTAGTCATCCCCCTTTATGATGTACAAACCTGGCATAACGACAGCTGCTGCGTTGCAGTACCCTGCGTGTGACAAAATCCGGTGACTGGTTGCTAATGTAGATTTCTGGTAGGAGACCTACAGTTTGTTGCTTGAGTTCCTGTTAATTCCTGGCAGTTTTATGATGACAGGAGAAAGCAAGCATGCAGTCATACGTACACTCGGCTTTCAGGCTTCTTCCTTTGATAATTTGGTCTCGGAGAAAGGTATGTGAAGGTCTGTGGGGTCGCATCTCCACAAGCCAGGAATCCTTCTCTGGTCCCCACAGATAAACTTTTACCTCTCAAAACAGGTTCTCCACATCCAGGGTTGTGTTGGAAATGGTCCTTGGCCTGCATTAACCTCCAAAAAAGCGTGGCCAGCCATTGTTTGTCAGTGCTGTTCGGCCCAGACAACAGCAGTGGCAGGAATAATTTTAACAGGACAAATTTTGTGTGCTGCTGTTGGAGCCTGACTGTCCGAGCTCTTTAGTCCCCACATGAGCGAGCCTGGTTGATGTGTGCGTGTCAGCCCGTTGTAATTTTATGTGTGCACCGGTGTCTGATCTGTGTCCAAGATGTAAGGTAAATTGAGGCAGGAAACCAGGCTGAAGGCTCTTAACTCTTAGGATCTGATCTCTGCCTATGTTCCATTTTTTGACTGAATTCATTATACCAGGATGAAAACCCCTGTGAGCCAATGTCTTGTAAAACTTGCATAAATAGGCCTTATTGATGCAACTAGTTCCTTTGGGCTTGTGATATCATCTCTCTCAAGCAGAATTCCCCTTTGGTTTCATCTTTGGAAACTGATGATGTTTTACAGCCCGGTGACTCAGGACCACGTGTGTAGATTAATAATCTTAGGGCTTTCCAGTTATTGCTTGTTAACCTTCTCTTGTATTGTCTGTGAACAATAGAAAATGTTACCAGTCAGCAAAAATTTGCTAAACGTAGCACAGCCACCAAGTCTCTGTTATGGGACTGCTCATCTGTGAGTTACCGAAGCCTGTGAATTTGTGATGAATGTTTTTCTGATTGACTCCTTGTCCCTTAATAAACTGCTAGATATGGTTCAGAAACGTTCAGCAAATGAAGTTGTTTCTCTTCTCCAGGAAGGTTGCATGTCAACTCATTAAAAATACACATATTGCCTTTGGCATGTACATCTGTTGCATTACTGTAATTGTAATAAAAGCTGTGATTAAGGGCAGAAAAGATGGTAAAAGTTTCCTTAAAACTAATACGTCCGTTAAAACAAACCAACCTGCCAGGGATTTGTTACCACATCCAAAGCTTAGTCACAACAATGTTTTCTCTCTTCTGGAAGGAAATGAGATTTGAAAATTTAATTATAGCGTAACTCTGAGACCGAGTGCCGCTCCCATTGACATCGAGAGTGAAAAGCTCCATTCAGTGGCAGCAGAATCAGGCCCTTGGTTGAAAGGATCAGTGAAGGAAGAATTATACTACCTGTCTGTTCCACTGTTCATATTACGTTTGTTCCTGCTTCTTGTCCAAACTCATCTTGTCGTTGTCCTGACTGGTTAGTTGATGTGTACAAGCCCCAGTCACGCAGCAGAAGGCATTGCCATTACACTGTGGAGAAAGGTAACATAACGTCTTGTCCCAAAGGGGAAGTAGTGCAGAAAGAGGAGAGATGGCAGGAACTGTAAAGAAAATGGATTGTAAGGAAGGGTGGGAAGGCATAGTATAAAAATACTCAAGGACCTAATGGAAATAAGCAAAGGGGTCTGAAGACAGTTTGCCTGCCTGGATTAAACTTCTAGCACAGATATCTTAGAGCAGAAAAAGCATTACAATGAACAAACTGGCATTTGGGTACTGGTATTCATGAACCGAGGAGATGGAGAGGCAGAAAAATTGCACATTAGTGACCTTGAGTTATCTGAAACATTGTCACTCTGTTTATTCAGGCGGGCAAAACAAGGCTGCCCCTATCTAGCACCGTGGTGGTTGTTCTACAAATCATGTGCGGTCCTGCAACGCTGGAATACTTTGGCACTGCACCACGTTGAAATTTGTAAACATCTCTCCAGTGACAGATGCCAGTAGCAGACTTAGAGTGACAGTAAAGCCTTCTATCTACACGGGACAGGATTTATTGTCCAGCCGTTTGACTGGCAAACTTCCTCCATTTGTTTCTGTAAAATTTCCACAAAAGCACAGACGTTACATAATGGGTAAACACCGCAAGGCTTTTTCGGGAGGCGGGCTCGCAGGTCAGAGGTTAACGTCTGGATGTCAGCGAAGATAGAGATAAGCACAATAGCAAGCAAGACCTCCAACTGGCCCAAACGCAGTGTGTCCTTTGTGATCTTGAACCTGTGACTTCCCTGGAGGAATCTCCCTATTTGTTTGACCTATCTGGGGAGCAGGGGAGCGCTGCGATCCGGAGCAGGGGGAGGTCTGCTTTGTGCAGTTCAGGCAGGATGGGAAGGAGGGGACTTAAAAACCTGAGATGAGGGTGTCAGGTGGGTTTAGGCTGTCACACAAATGCCTACTGGAGACAGTATATTTCTGGTTTATTTTAAGCATCCAAGAGAAGCTGTAAGAGGACAAGCAACTAAGATTAAACTTATGAGTTTGATTTCAAATCTTGTCTTGTTCCAGATGTGGAGACACTCAGATTTCATGTGCAGTGTTTGCATTTCCCTCATTTTACAGAGAAAAACAGGCTAAGACAGTTTCAGGCACTCCACTGTTATGCCCACAAGACTGTATAGGAAGCAAGAGTCCAGACTGAGGCATCTAGGCTTGTCTCCCAGCAGTAGCTACTTCCCTCTCTTGGCTGTGCGGGATGGCACGATTACATCCCTTAAGTGCCATAGTGGAAAAAGCTTTCTCATAGGATAAATGTTCAGAACTGTCAAATAGCATCTGGGAGATAAATCTGTATCAAAAGGCAGTGAAACATATGCTTACAGTTGTTATGAAAATGAAACATCTTATTTTAAATTGACTAAGTTATTTAAAATTTCATCTGCAGGGAGCCAACTGGAAAATTGCATTCTGGGTTTGAATTATCCCAACCTTGGGAGTTGTCATGTCTTGAGCTCTGTTTCTGTTCTAATTGTCTGTTCTTAATCAGAGAGATTTTAAATATGATATTATGGGTGGTCTTCATCTGAATACTACGGACATCACGCTGTCCAAATAGTTGGTATCTAATGCAGGAGAGGTGAATCACACCCTGCAGATGACTGTTTCTCTTTACTGACTGCAAAAGGACCCCCTGTCTCTACTAGATACCTAAAAGCAGAGGAGATAAATCCCACTCTGTATCTTCTGGCTGTTTATTTTGCTGCAGACATCAGAAAACAATGTGATCTGAATTGTCCATGCAGCCTTTACCCTCGCTGCCAGGACAGTCGGATGTCCCGTGCTTTGGCTGCATTGGACTTTACACCTGCTCGCTTCTAGTGAGATTCCTGTTGGTTGTTTCCTACCTTCTTGGAAAATTCATTTTACATCGCCACCATCATTTCCTGACAAGTAAGATGGGAAATGTTTGGAGAATTCTTTTTCTGAGACTAAAATGCTGTAGAAATACCCATTTAACTGAAATACTTTGGTAAGCACAGTGCATGGTGTTATATTTGTGGCACTCAGTAGCCCTTCCGCCTATTCTGTTCATGTTTTTCAGAGTTGTAAAACAGCGTTTAAAGTGGTAGGTAAGCACTTGATAAACAAATCCACGTGAAATGGTGAAATGAGTGCTTTGCCCCCTAAAGAGTATTTTTAAAAGCTGTATAACCACATACTTAAAATTTATTTTACTTTTCTGTTATTGTTTTTAAGTTAAAACAGTATATTTTTCTTGCGCAGAAATTAAAATTTAACTCCCAAAAGTAACAAGATATGATGAGCACCTCTAAATTCAGCATGGAAGGCAGAGCTCTTCTGATTTTGTTCTAT